TTTAAGGTCCCTTCCAACCCAAACCATTCTATGATTCTATGAACAATCAGAAGGTGTTTCTTCAGAACAGGAAATTTAATGAATAGAAAAAAAGCTTTTTTTAAACTGTTATTAAATTGGGAAGCCGTGACCACAACTGCCCCGCAGGCTGCTCTGCTCGGGCACTGGCTCCTCCCGGTCACAGTCCATCAGCGCCCCCCCGCCGAGGAGCTGCTGCCCCGCTCTCACTTCACGCCAGCTTTCCTCAAGTCCTCGGGCAGAACACGGCCTTTCTTCCGGGCCCTGGCCTTCTTCTTCTCCACCCGATCCTTCTTCTTCTTCTGAATGTTCTTGCGACGCTTCTCCTGCCGCTGCTGCATCTTCTCCACCACTTTTTCTGTCCGCTTCTCCCACTGCCTCTGGCGCTGCGCCTTCCGCTTCTCCTTGCGCTTCAGAGCTTCTTTCAGGCGCTCCTCGTCATCACGAATCCTCACGCCCTCCGCCTTGTAGAGAGCATTGGTCCATTTCATCTTCTTCTCCAGCTCCTGAGCTTTGTTCTGGTCCTTATCCTTGAGTTCCTCCAGCCTGCTCTTCCTGGTTTCCAGCCTGCTCAGCAGCTGCTTGTAGTTTCTGCCCATCAGAGGCGTGATATTGCCCTTCACTGCTTTCCTCTTCTCCTTCTTCTTCTCGATCTTGCTCAACTCGTTCTCTTCATGGACTTTGACCGTGTTAAAGACTATCTCAGCTGTGCTCTCCTCCTGCTTGCTTTCCGGCTCTACCGGCGCCTCCTCAGTTTCCTTCTTCACCATTATTTTTGCCTTCATCTTCAACTCCTTTCTTCGGCGCTTCTTTCTCTCCCTCTCATACTTCCTTCGCTGCCTCTTCTCCAGGACTGCAGGGGGCAATTCTTCAGCAGCATCCTAAGAGGAAGGATGGACGTGAGTCAGGAGCAGATAAAAGAATTAAAAGTGTGATGTCCTCAAATTCCCAATTCCAAACTTCTCCTAAGTGACACAGCACACGTGACACGAAGCTGTGGGCTCGGCTTTTAGAGATACTCGGCCCAGTGAGGGCGTTTCAAACCCTGTGCTCTCTCAACACCCCGTAGCTAAGCTCCTTCTCAGACCTTTTCTCTTTCCTAAATATCACCAGAGGCATCATTCCTCCAAGCCAGGCCCTACCTCATCTCTGCACCCAGAACACACACGGGTCTCCCAACAATACCTACAGGCACTTCCTTCGGAGGTGGAACTGGCTCATCCCGAGCCTTGTCCCCACGTCCCCTGGGAGGCTAGGGAGGATTTGTATTGCATAATCACACGTGTGGATACACATTAAGAGCTCTCATACTTGTCCAGAAGCTTTTTTGATCTTCTCATGTAGTCTCTGACGCAAGAGATTCATTGCGGAAAAAGACGGGGAACCAAGTTCGCTTTTGCTCCCTGAAAATGACAGGAAGAAAACAAAAATACTTCAAAGACAGCACTAGCTAAACAGAAGAACTTTCTGTGTCTAGGGGAAAAAATTCAGAGCTCTTCAGATGCTGTGAACAGAACAGAAAATCTAAAGAAACCAAGAGTTTCTACTTCATTGGTTTCTTTAGCATTCCCCCTTTTCTACCATATTATCATCCAGCACTGCCAGCCAGCATGGCCTGGCATGCGCTGTGGCTGCCTCAGCACCCCGAAGACAAGTGCCAAGCCAGTGGAAACAAGGACACCAAGGACAAACTTTCTGCATGATCTGGCTTTTCAGATGCCTAATGGACAGCCGGCCTGGCACGACAGAGATTGCAGCCACACAGCAGTCCCAGAAGTTACCCAGACACACAAATGTCTGCGATTCAGACTAAACGCCATTTCCAGGGAGCCACCCAGCGGTGACGTTACAAATGTACATAGAGATGCAAAAGCTTTCAGGGCACATGGAATAAGCAGATGTTTCAATTCAGCTGAACTGAGAATCACAGACTGGTTTGGGTTGAAGAGACCTTAAAGACCATCTAGTCCCAACCCCCCTGCCATGGCAGGGACACCTTCCACCAGACCAGGTTGCTCCAAGCCTCATCCAGCCTGGCCTTGGACACTCCCAGGGATGGGGCATCCACAGCTTCTCTGGGAAACCTGTCCCAGTGCTCCCCACCCTCTGCAGGAAGAATTTCTTCCTGATATCTAATCTAATCCTCCCCACTTTCAATTTAAACCCGTTCCCCCTTGTCCTGTCACAACAGGCCCTTGTAAAAAGGCCCCCCCAGCTTCCTTGTAGCCCCTTCAGGTACTGGAAGGCTGCAATAAGGGCTCCCCAGAGCCTTCCCTTCTCCAGGCTGAACAAGCCCAACTCTCTCAGCCTTTCATCACAGCAGAGGTGCTCCAGCCCTCTGGTCATCTTTCTGGCCTCCTCTGGACTTGCTCCAACTTCTTAAAGGTTTTCCAAACTATACACGTGCGAAGCAACAGAAACGCAGTCACCTCAGCTCAAGCAACTTTAACCTGACCATGGTAACACTGATATTCTTACCTGTAACCAAACTCTCATTTTCGCTCTGTGTAACACCCTTCGGGGGCGATTTGGTGGCTTGAGGGGCTGCTTTCTTTCCTGGATTTGGTTTATTGGCATTAGGCACCACCTGTTTGACTGAAGGAGCATTCGTCTTCTCAGCCTGCTTCCTGGGTTTCTTTCTCTTCTTTTTCTTGGGCTGCCTGCCAGCATCCCCGGGCTGGCCTGGCTGAGACACTAGAAGACAAAGCGGGACAACGCTGCATTCCCACTTCGTAACAGTCAGTTATCACTGAAGACTAAAGTTCCAGCAATGCAATGGCATATCTCAAGCTCCAAAAATTCCATAGCTTAGGTGTA